AGGGCAACCGCATACCATTCCAAGACTTCCATTTTAGGGATCTCTTAAGGCAATTTGATGGAGGTTTGGTGACAGTTCGAGAGGCATAGCATCATCAATAGGGAAACGAGGTGTATTTTAATAAGAACAGAATAGTGACGGAAAGAAGGTCAAGGGAAGTGACAAACCCATTACTTGAACAAAAGGTATGCAGGCCCTTTTTTCAGATAAGATGGAATTGGAATGAGAAGACTTCACTGTTACGAGCCAACATACAGGCGGTCCAACACTAAGCTAAAATAAAGCATAATGCAGGTAAAATAATATCTTCTAATAAATTATATGCCCATTTAATTCGGTACTTATTTCTGCTGAAGTAACATTTATATCCCTTTTAAGATCCATCAACGTGGGAATTATCTGATCTAGTTGGACCATGGATTTTGTCAGGCTACCCTGGAATAAGTGAGTAGCAACATCCATGCGACGCCGAGCTTCATCTTCGTACTCTTGCTGGCGCCGTAGCAAGCGGTCTACCTCATTAGCTGCAAGTTGTCACTGCACTGATTCTTCTTCTGCTTTATTTATCCACTTACTTAGCTCGGCAAAAAGACTAACATTTTCTTCCTTGAGTTGACCGATAATAGTACCGAAGCTTACATACTGCGAAACCTAGGGTAATTAGAAGGGACTCATATAAGGTGTCTAGAATCTAAAGTCTGGTACCATAGTGATATTATCTATAGCTGTTAAAGAAGATGACATGGTCTTACCTACCACCTCAAAGGAATTACCAACCTCTTTGCAGATCATTCAGTAAACACTAATAGAATGTTCACTTAGGTTCTTGGCAAATATTTTCGTAAGCACCTCATTCTTCTCCAGAAGGATGTTCCAGGCGTACGGATCACGAATACAGGGTACCAAGCAAACTTCGGCAGGCTCGACCATAATTCCTAATGTTTGAGCTGGGAGCTATTAGGGAAATAAGGGCCCCAGTGATCGCATAAGTACTCACCGATATGCCTAGATAATTTTTCCCTGCACTACTCTCTAGCCAGTCAACGTTCTCGGTTGCTTTATCGAATAGGAGCCATATCAAAGAGCATACCCTATACAACCGTCTGGTAATAACCAGTTCATAAGCCATCCTCTCTATATTAGAAAATTCTAAGTTTATGACTTATTTATCTAGCCTTAAAATGGGATCTTGATGTTTTTTACGCGCCTGTTGGCCCCGAAATGGATATTCCGTTCCGGATCTAGGTCCTTCATATCGATTTGTACTTACGT